CTGATTGCGACACCGCGGAGAAGAGAAAGGCCCCCAACGCCACTGCCTTCTCCCCCCTCCCCTCTCCACCCTTTGATCCCTGTCTGACCCGTAGGAAGAAAAACAGCCTTGTTTCCCTGAAACAGCGAGAGGGAGCAGCCCGGGCCTTCAAAACACTCCCGCACACAAACATCTGCGGCACGCACCGCCCCAGCTTGCTCCTTCATGTGCTACTCGCTGAAACAGCTCCCGGCTGTGAGTTAGACAGCACAGAGCACGTGACCTGTCACCCCACTGTGCCACCCTCTGGGGTTCTGCACCTTTCGGGGAACCAAACGTTTTTGGAAAGAGTTTTGAATCGCTGCTTGTAAAAAGACGCAGAAAACCGTTACCGTTCTGAAATGATTGCATGTTCAACACATTTTGTCCCAAAACAGAAACAGTGTGCCCCTGACGTTGTCTGGAATAAACGCGTTCATGATGCCGATGATGAGGGTGATCACGATGATATTATTACTGCCACAGCAAGAGGTTAGATTGCAACATCATCCTCTATAGCCAAGGTTAAAAACAGAAAACTGTTTTTTACACCTGTATTTGAAAATATAAAATATCCAGCAGTAAGTGAGCTAATTATGAAGTCTTGTTAAGTACTGCCCAGCATGTACAGCAGTTCTTCTTATCTCTAATGAACTGATTTAGCTGCGTCTGTCCTTCAGGGCTCAGCTTTCACAGCCTGGCCTCGGGGTAGCACTGTTTGCCCTTGTCTGTCCTGGCTCGACCATAATTACTGTTGCTGTGAAACACTGAAGTCTGCTCATTAATGCTTCATAATGTGCAGAGGTGTCTAAGCAACTGTAGGGTAAATGGTAAGCATTTGAGCTCCCTGTGACTGTGCCTCGTCCTCATGTAAGATTCTATACAGCTGGAGAAGTAGAACTCTGTAACAGTAAACACTGTAACCAAGCAAAGTTACAGCAGCTCCCTGCCCGTGCAAAAGATACAGATGCATTAGATTGCTTCTCCTGTAAACATCTTCGCAGGCTTTCGATAAAGCACACTTGCGTGTGTTGTTGTGCCAGTAATGGTGACCTTGGGTTTTAAGTGTTATATTGCCTGGCGTGGCTAACCGTCTGTACTGTACTGTACCTGGAGCACAACAGCATTATTTTCCAAATGAACCCACGGCCCTTGTAAAACATATTTTCGGCGCGTTTAGCGTACTGATGATGGTCGTATACCAAATCACAAACAAAACGGGTAAGGAAGAATGTATTCTCAAATCACATCCTGAATGCTTTAGAGTAGACGGAGGCGGCTAAGCAGGTACAAACCGGAGTCAACTGTAACCACACCCTCCACTCCTAGTGAACATTAAGACGCAAAGTTGAAATCATTATTTAAAAAAAACGACACACAGGCACCAATTGAAAATCCCTGAATGGACTGGGGTCAGCATCCCGTCTGCTCTGTACTTTTTCTCATGTGAGGACTGTTAGCGGTCAGGGATTCTTGGGAAATGAGAATTTGTCTGGTTCCTTGATTTAATACAGTATCCACATGACAACCACAGTGGCCAGCTGTGGAAAAATTCCATCAATCCCTAATGCGAGAAATAACTTCATTCTAGAGTTGCATTGTGAGTTATGCAACTGGAAAATAATAAATGCTACAATGTGTCATTTATTATTATTATTAATAATAATAAAATTAACAGGCAGTTTAATTTTAAACAATATTACCGTAAATCTTTATGTACAAATTCATGATTTGTTTGCTACGGGCGTCACGAATTGCGGAGAATCTAGCTTCGTTGCTTTTCAATGAAGATTAAATCGAAAGGGTTAACTTTCTCCCTTCTGCACTAAAACCACCCTTGTTTGTTAAATGTTTCACATACACCGCCCCCCACCACCACACACACACACACTGACACGCTCCTAATTTCCGCGCCCTGATATCTCACGCGAAAACGGTGTTCAAGGTCTTTTTATTTAAAAAGAAAAAAGGTTTTCCTGTCACTTAACTGCTTTCCAATACCTCGCGTCGCCATGACAAAAAAAAAAGAGAGAGAGAGACTCCAGGGGTGGGAAGAGAAGGAAAAACAACACCGTGCGCGGGTCTAGGGAGATGCAGGCTGCAGCCTGCATCTTTTCCAAGTTTCTGATCCCTGATAATGATCTGGTGGGCCCAGCGCGGCCGGTGACACACCTGCCCTTGGGCTTGGAGTCAGACTCCGGGGACACCGTGGGCTGCATCAGTAGGGCGCTGCTGAAAGCCGTCTAATACCGTGGCAAGACAGTCACAAATACGGGCACAATGTCTCACCAATAAGCCCGTTTCAACATGTTTCTTTTTATCTCTGCGAAGTGTGGGATGGTTTGCGTGTGTGTGTGGGGGGGGTATAATTCAATATTAATAGCATTCTCCATTCCCACTCAAAATAAACAATCCTATAAATATATATATTTTAAAAAATCTCAGTCTGAGGGGCGTAAGAACGTCATAGGAAAGGCAGTACAGTATGCTTAATGGTCGTTTGCTGCCCCGAAGATGAGATGAGGCGGAACTGCAAGACGAGCCCTCTGCTTCACGAACACAGCCGTCTCTCCCTGCTCCTGCAGCCCCGCATCACAAACACTAGCCAAGGCACCCAGCTCTCTCATCCGCCCACCTTCCCCGCACGCCCGCTGGCCTCGCCGATCAAGTGGCTGCTGTTCAGTGAAGCCCCCTAGTCGCCCCTTTCGTCCTAACGGCAGATTAAGAGAGGAGGAACCTGCGCTTACCGGGTGCTTACAACTGGACGGCGCTGCTCCTGTGCGGGACCATCCAGCGGCGCGGTGCTCCCGAGATCCGGACGAGCGCTGCTCTGAAGGCGCACCGAGGGAGGGAGAGAATCTCCTGCAAGTTATTTAAAGGGAAAAAACCTCAAAGCTTTGGATGGGGGTGCTGCGTGCGGAAGGAGACACGCGGCCAGCTGCCCCTCTTTCAATTTCTGTGATATGCAAACCCCCTCACTTCAGAAACGATTTCATCACCGGTCGTATCTATCATCATATATTGTGCTTTGGTCTCGCTTTACTGTAAATGAACCTCAGCGTGCACTGTGAGATCAGTCTCCTTCTGAAACGAAAAACTGCCCTTTTTGGAATGTATCGACTACATCGGTATTGCTCCGTGTTTAAAAGAGTTTATTCATGTAAAGAAAAAGATAGCATTTCAAGTTAATGTTTTTTTTTGCTTCGTTATATGAAAAGGGGGGGACTCACTCTTACACAGAAAGTGTACATCCAGCGTGGTCTAAAAAGTAGTTTTTTTTTTTTAGGGTTAAGGAATGAACCATACATATTTTGACACCTGAAGACAGTTTCTTTCCCTTTCACTATTTCATTTTCATTTTTCCATAAATATTTTGCTTGCTCGTAAATACACACACACACACACAATAAATACACACAAAACTCGTTTAAATGTCATACGCCCGATGGGAAACGTAGTGGCACTTTCGCCCTGACTAGACGATACACAGACCAGCTCTATAAGGGAGAGCTTTAAAACGACTTGAAAACATTGTAACAGCATAGAAATATATCGATAGAGAAGGCAGTTTCATTCACCCCTGGAAGTTTAAAACCCCTTACCATAAAGGATAGAGGATAGTCTCTCCAGCTGTCATTCTCAGGGTGGCAGCTGTGTGGTTTATTATCAGCACTGTAGTTGCTGTGCAAGACTGAATTGGTAATGGTACTGTAGCTGCAGCTATGTGAAATCTGGGTGGTTTCGCTTATTTTAGACCCCACTACACCGAGATAACATGTTCTAGATTGTAAGGAGCAAAACAAAATTCTTCACGGGACTCCCCTAACAGTTATTATCCTCAGAATGACTTCGAACAGGGGGGACGCAGGACCTGTGTCTTTTTTAAGCTGTGCGTTTTTAAAGTCGGAATTTAAACTTTGTCAGATTCAAGGAAGTGATGGGCTGCCTGATTCTTTAAAATTTATGTAAATACAACCAGTAAGCGAAGTCTTGTTACAGAATTTGTTAGCATATATAGTATAATATTATAGAGAGACTTGAACAACACATTCTGAAACATACAGGAATACAGGAGGACCCGACACTCGAAATCGTGAAAGGCGCTGGAAAAAGTAAACCAAAACATTTCTTCACAGTGACCAGTGAAACACGAATCGGGGGACACGAGTGAAAACTACGTGGCAAAGCAGCTAAAACCGTGACACGGGAGGCATGTCTTTGCACCAAGGGTCGTGGGGGTGGGGAACAAATGTAGAAGATAGTATGGTCAGATATGATTGAAGATTCATATGAATTTATACTCATTTCACATTGCACGTCGTTATAAAATGTAATACTCGTTTATCGATGTAAAAAAATCGATTTCTTATAGTAGATTGGTGCGATTAAAACTTTCTTCAGATCTGCCGTGTGAACATATTTGGGTATGGTGTTTCTATATGAACTAATCATCACCTGTGCTTTTTGATATCCAGATTTTGATTTCAATATGTTTTAACACGCGGATATCAATATTTGATATATCAAATATTGACATATTGACGCGCAACGATAAAAACGGAATTTCTCATGAAAAAAATAAAATACCGATAAGAATACGATTTGAAATATTTCCGATATCAGAAATTATTTTTATTCTATATTCGGTAATCGAGGCAAAGATGTTTAAACGCTTAATCGCAATTTTAAACATGAATAGAAATGAAAGTTCCTTAATACGAGACCCCGCCACTTTCGACGTCTACGTCACATAAACATACGTACGCATGTTCGTGACGTAGTACACCATCTGCTGTTTCTGATGACGTCCCGCACAGGTCTCCCGTGTTTTACTATGGCGGCGATTTGGTAAATTAAAAAGAAAGCTGAATTAGAGTGAATTAGAAATCCTGCTTGAAAATTAAGTACAAAAAAGAAGGACTGCCTTCACTGCTGTCTGGACGACACTCTCTGTTCGTTTTCCGCTGTGATGACGAACAGGACGGCGTATTTTTACGACCCAGACGTGGGGAACTTTCATTACGGTAAGATGGGCTTGTGGCTACTGTTATTTTATCGTTTGCATTAAATTTCCGATCTTAGCCCCAGCTTTCCACCGTCTTACTTACTACGTGAAATAATTTATCAGCGGTCCTGAACTTTTATACGAGTGATGATCGATATCTCCCTTCTGAACTTTGCAGGTGATTATACTAATTTACAGCTGTAGTTGCAGAAGCCTTAATGAAGTTCAAACCCACTCAGACAGCTCCTCTCCTTCAGTAAATATTATTTCCAGTGCCCATTTTCATTTTAGAATATGTCTGCTCCTTTCATGTTGACATGTGCGGTTCTGAAGTGCACAGGCGCCTCGTTTTCATTTTAACATCCGGACGGCCGGATCGTCGATTTGCATTTCAGTACCTCCGCATAGCAAACAAAAAATAAAAATCATAACCGGCAAATTAAAGAAAGATAGCTTTTCGTGCCGTCACAAGGCTGCAGAGCTTGTGGTAGAAATTACCGAGGGATATATTGTTGTGTTGCTTTTACTTTTGACATCCTTATTTAGGTATGTATTGGGCCCGACAGGCTGAATAAGAAAGGTTTTAATAATCAATTTTGACAAGATGACAAACCCTTTCATTTTTATCCCCCTTAAACCGCTAATTTGTTCATTTATGTACAGTAGCTGCTCAGTGCAGTATTGCTTCATGGTGAACTGATGAGGGATTTCCAGTCCATCTCAGGGGAAATCGTAGAAATGCCAGTTAATGTGTAAGCCCGAGATTGAGCTGTAGGAGAAAACAAGGGCACCTGGAACCAACATCTTGCCTTGGGAATAACACTGAATCCAGGACAGGAAAACCCAAGGACATTGTTGTCTCCCAGGACAGGCGATGTGCAGTTTTCTCTCATTGACAAACGCATCACATTCTCCCACCCTCTGTACGTTTACGCTTCTGGTTTGACTTACTCTACAATACCAATGAATAATTCTTTCATTTTGGTTGTGCCCTTTTTAAGGTGCTGGACACCCAATGAAACCCCATCGACTCTCTCTCACCCACAGTCTTGTTCTGCACTATGGGCTCTACAAGAAGATGATGGTATGTTTTTTTTCCCCAAAGAGAAGATTAATTTTGGCAGTGAGGAGTTTCATCTCATTTGAAGAAAGGGGTTTTAATGATGTGTACATTTTGTGTGTTATGAATTTATGCCTTAGGCGTTTTTGGCCCACACGATCTAAAAAATGTGTGGAGTTACAGAACCGTTTGCACATGAGGCAGAGTTTGACACGGAGTTGGAACAGAAATGTAGATGTTGCCTGCGCAGATGTGGAGGGCAGTGTAGGTCAGGGGCCCGCAACTGCTAATGTTCAAAGAAGAATCTATATAAATATGTATATGTATTTGCATCGTTGGGCCTTTTTTTAAATCCAGAGTATTTACAGGTAATGATCTGTATATACAACCCTTGGTTGGATATATGTGCATCCAGACCCCTTGGTACCATTGCACACTGGCTGTGTTTGTACTCTTTGAACAGTATACAGTGCCCTTGAAGTCTTTGTCTGTCTCAGGTGTTCAAGCCATACAAAGCCTCCCAACATGACATGTGCCGCTTTCACTCGGAAGATTACATCGACTTCCTGCAAAAGGTCAGTCCCAACAACATGCAGGGCTTCACCAAAAGTCTCAACACCTTCAACGTTGGGGATGACTGGTGAGTACAGGGGTGTTATTCTGTCTTTGGACATATTTGTCTTTTCAAATACGAAAATATGCTAGCAAGCCTGCAGGCAGCACGGTGGGCGCAATGGTTAGAGGTGGTGACTCGCAGAGCTGGGGCTCTGGGTTCAATTCTGAATCTGGTGCGCTGTCTGTGTGGAGTTTGCATGTTCCCCCGGTGTGCACATGTGTACAGTTTCCTCCCGCAGTCCAGAAACATAGTGGGAAGTACATTGGCTTCTGGGAAAGTTGACCCCCCTGTGTGAGTGTGTCTCTGAGTCTGTCTGCCCAGTGGTGGACTAGTGTCCCGACCAGGGTGTGTCCTGCCTATAGCCTATAGAATCAAGCCTATAGAAATACGATGACATTTAAAAAGAAGACATCTCTGTGGAAAGAAGAGGCTGTCCTGAATGGATCTGCCTGCTTGATTAGGCTCTTGTCTGCACTTGGCTATAGGTTATAGCTTGGTGTCTCATGTTTCACAGCCTCGTTCTTGAGCTACAGAAAACTGCCTTCTGGTCCAGAACGTTTCTTTCAGTTGAACACGCATGGCTTACAATCTGGTTTTGCTTCTTCACATGGGAGCAAGCCTATAGAAATTTTAAAAAGAAGACATCGTTGTGAGAAGAAGAGGCCTGCTTTGTCCTGGGGCTGCTGGTGCAGAATAGTTGCTTGCGATGGTTATAATCACGATGATGAGTGGTGGAGTCATTCTCAGTATTCCAGTATGTGTGAGTTAATTCTCTTGTCTCCTGTCGTTGCCCAGTCCTGTGTTTCCTGGCCTGTTTGAGTTCTGCTCACGCTACACGGGAGCCTCTCTGCAGGGAGCAACGCAGCTAAACCACAAGGTACTGTCTGCCCAGGCAAAATGCTATTGTTACTGTAGCTGTGCACCCAGCCAGGAGAGGAGCAGGAAGGTCCGCTCGGTGCTGTGGTGGTTTCGACGAGAGAACGTGCATCTCATCTGGATTTGCTCCCAACTGAGTACTTGTTTCAAAGCGCGAGCTCTTTCCAGGGCCATTGTGCAAGTCAGACTGTCGTTCACTCTATTTTCCTTGTTAAATGGGCTGCATTGTTCGCATTTCAGAGATAGGGGTCTCTTTCTGTTGATTTCATTTGTATCCTCCTCCTAGGGCACTGGGCGACGTTGAAGCGAACTTGACAACATTGTGACCCCTGATTTTAGATTTATACGGCTTGTGTAGAGTCATTCCTGACATCTCTGGCTCTTTTCCTGTCTGCTTTGCATGTTCTTTGCATCATACTAGTCGTTTGGTACTGTAGTCCATGAAAGAACGTGTGTGACGAAGAAAATGATCTGATAGTGCTTTTATTTCCTATCAGATCTGTGATATCGCCATCAACTGGGCTGGAGGCCTGCACCATGCCAAAAAATTTGAGGTAACCTTTTTGTAATTTGAAAAGGATCTTTGTAGCCATAGCAGTAAGAAAACTTAACACTTATGTGTTGTCTGGGACAATGAATAGAGTTTATGCTGTGTTGACACTGCTGATAACTTTCTGTTTAGGAGCATCGTATGTTTTTTCCTTTAAAGTATTTTCTTTTTCTAATTTTCTGCCTGTTGTTCTGAGTTTTGTCTGTGAACAAATTAAACTCTCCACAGTAAATTAATTACCTGGACAGTTTGCTTCCAGTGCACAGAACCACCAGTTTCTGAGCTTATTTGATTAATAAGCTTTATATGGTGCTGCAGATTTAAATGATGCAGTGTTCAGAGAGTGTTATTTATTTAATATTTTATTAAAGTGTTATTTTATTTATGTAATATGTGCCAATTGAACATGCTGTGTGAATATTTGTGATATTGTAACTGATGTCTACGTTTCTCTCATCCCCATCTTTGTTTCTCAATTTTATGCAGGCGTCTGGATTTTGCTACGTGAATGACATTGTCATCAGCATTCTGGAGCTGCTAAAGTATGTTGACTTTCACTGTGGTGAGCATTCGACAAACCTCACATGAAACACAGCAAGTTATGTTTTGGTCAGAGTGAACTTGGTGCTGCAAGCTGTTTAAAGGAATATTGTCAGTGTATTAATGTGGTGATGAAAATGTCTTGTTTTAGTAAAAAAAAAAGTTATAAGACATATGTTTCAAAAATAAATAGTGAGAATCTCTTTGGAAATTGCGATAATGTAACCTCTTTTTTTACACTGTGAATATTATGCTGAAACAGCGGATGTGTTAAACTGTCAAGGAAGTATTAGTGCCTGATTTGTTCATCTTCAGTATTCATGGACTTGTAACGTCTATTATGTTAATGTAGCAGCCTTACTGATTGTTTTATGCCAAGATATTTGAAACCGCCATTTGGATTAGAAGGTGGTTGTTGTAAGTCACTTTTGTGGTCCTTAGTATTTGATGTTCGTACCGTAGCTTTTTGTTCTTAAAGGATTGGTTCTCTGAATGGTGACAAATGTGATGTGTCATATTTTAACCTTGGACACAGAAAGTTTATTAATGGTAATACTGCACTGAGATACTTGGAAAACGGAGCCTGGAGACTGATGTTTAATGTTTAAGAGACGCAAGGATTTTCTCTGCTGTTTGTTCTTGCCTCTAGGTGATTTAAATGATTGTGTGAGTGTCATAATTGTAATATTTCCCCTTCTGAAATTAATGTTCAGTGTTAGTCCTACACGGGATATTTCTGTTGTTAGTGAATCTTCATATAGTGACGGGGACACTACACTGTAAAAGGGCGCTGTCCTTTGGATGAACCGAGGTCCTGAGTCTCTGTGCTGATTACAAAATCCCAGGTTGTTTCTCGAAAAGAGTAGGGGTGTAACCTCGGTGTCCTGGCCAAATCTCCCATTGCCCCTTACCAATCATGGTCTCCTAATAATCCCCATCTCTGAACTGGCTTCATCACTCTGTTCTCCTCCCCACTGATAGCTGGTGTGTGGGGAGCGTTCTGGCGCACTATGGCTGCCGTCGCATCATCCAGGTGGGGCTGCACATTGGTGGTGGTGGAGGGGGTCCCCATTACCTGTAAAGCGCTTTGAGTGGAGTGTCCAGAAAAGCGCTATATAAGTGTAAGCAATTAATTAATTAATACATTCATCATGTGGTAGAATTTACACCAGCAAAGAGGTTCTGTATTTATTGAGCTTATCCTGCCACCTACTGGCAAAAACTCATACTGAGCACGAGGTTGAAATCTTGCAATGGAACACGTGCAGTTGTACCCTTTTCAAAGTTTACACCATGACAATAACACGTGGGCAGGTTTATACCATGACTGTTACCCGTGAGCCTGGGATCACGAGAGAGAGAGTGGTATACAGAAGGGAGATTTACAGATTGTGTGGGGGACAGGGCATTCCCTAAACGGGAGATGTGTGCCCCCTGCAGGTACCATCCTCGCGTGCTCTACATTGACATCGACATTCACCATGGCGACGGCGTGCAGGAGGCCTTTTACCTCACCGACCGGGTCATGACCGTATCCTTCCACAAGTACGGGAACTACTTTTTTCCCGGGACAGGTATGGCCAACCGAGAAAACTTTTTTTTTTCCCTTTTCTGAATGTGCGTGACTGGGATCTTGGTAACTTGGTAAAAAAAAAAAAAACATGGCAAAGAAGTGCGTTTGGTGGCCGAGTGTAATGAACACTTGAGTGAGCGTGCGTGATTGTACACACTGCATACCGGACACGTGCTGTGTTACTCTTTCCCAGGAGACATGTATGAAGTGGGAGCCGAAAGTGGGCGATATTACTGCTTGAACGTCCCCCTCCGAGATGGGATTGATGACCAGAGTGAGTCCGCTATTCCTAGTGCTTCATTAACCTGACTGGATGCCAGAGCTGGAGTGCGTTTTTATGGTTGTTGTCCTGAGCTAATGGAACATAGATCAGGGCATTATCACTTTTAAATGGGACAGGAACTATCTAATGCACATTTATAGTTTACTATTCGGAGGAGAATCATTGACGTTTGTGAACAGACAATAACAGAGACTTGGGCATGTCGAGCCAGCTGCGTGCTTTTAATTTGTTTTTAATCTGGCCAATGAATAATGTATTTTTCAGGCTACAGGCAGTTGTTCCAGCCGGTCATCAAGCAGGTGGTGGACTTTTATCAGCCAACCTGTATTGTTCTTCAGGTAAGGGCTCTGTGGACCAGGGCTGAACCTTAGAGCTGTGTGGAGAATGTTAACCTATAACCAAGAAGTTGTTTTATTTAATGTTTTTTATTTCACAGCACAATACTCACAGGCAGGCATTGCTGTGATAATAGGTCTACACACCATGCATCTAATGCTTTCCTGAAGGGAACTGAATAACCCATGATTCACTGCTGCATAGACATGTTATCTCTTTGTTAACCAAGCTATGCCTTTGCCACTGAGATGAGTACGTCTGTGAGATGAAAACGCGCTAGTTAGAGACAGCGTTTGTACTCCTGCCGTGCGGCCCACGAACAGGTGACTTTGGTCCGCAAATGAGGAAATCAGTGAAATCACGAAGTAGAATTCACAAAGATCGAGTTTTTACGAGTTTTAATTTGTGACATTGTTCGGCAACGATGGGGGTTTTTTCTTTGTATTTACAAGGCTCTTGGGAAAGTTTCACATACTGGGTGATCAGCTGATGATGAGCAAACATCAAGTAAATTAAAGCAAGGTGAACAAAGTCTTTATAGCCGAGTCACTGTTGTGTTCGGATAATTGACATTGAGTGTGGTTTGGTTGCAGTGTGGGGCTGACTCTCTGGGCTGTGATAGACTGGGCTGTTTTAACCTCAGCATAAGAGGTCACGGGTAAGTGCGATCACATCCATCACGAAGAGATCATGAAGTCATGGGAAGAACTGCAGGGCAAGATTCCCTCTTTCCTAGCTAACACTGCCATCTCCTGGTGTGGAGCTGTAGCAGAGGCGACATCACGATGTGATGGGTTTTCAGCCTCGTTCTTATGAGAGCCCCCTCGATAAATACCCACCCTCGTGAAGGCGTGCCATCAAAATTAAATTATTTTAATTACAAATAATGATCCTTCTGGTTTTTAAAACTTGAGAAGTAGAGCAGCAGGTAAACTGACTGCACCACAGAGAGCGAGGCTGATTTTGCCCACTGCAGGCTATATTTCCCTTTGTGTCTGCAACCCCCTGGGCAGTCCTGTACTGAGCTCCCGATATGTAGTTCCCCATCACGGCCAGCAGCTGCACTAACGTCCTTAATCTTGGGCTTGAATGAGGAGCGCAGGCTCTGCGGCGCAGCTGGCAGGTTGTGGGGATGATAACTGTGGGTGATGAAGGGTGGGCAGCCCCAGCTTCGGCTGTGCGGGTCGGGTGTCCTGGACCCTCCTTGATTGTAAAACCTCTTCCGAACCCGGCCCCGAGCTGACGGTCTTCTCCGTCCGTAGGGAGTGTGTGGAGTTCGTGAAGAGCTTCAAAATCCCGCTGCTGGTCCTGGGCGGCGGAGGATACACGGTCCGCAACGTGGCGCGCTGCTGGTGGGTGTCTGCGGGTCCAGCGTGTTCCAGAGCTGTTCGCACACGTTCACGCGGGAATGGAGAATCCGGAAACGTCTGTATCGGGGCTCCCCAGTCTGCTGGTATTCGGTGCAGTTGGGCTTGTGGCAGCCGGGATCGGCTCACTGTGGGCCTAACGGGGCCGGTTTTCACAGCCTGTCCGAGCTCTTCAGCTGCTGCTGCCTTAAAGAGCACCGGCAAGGCTACAAGCGAGTCGAGGCCGCTATCGGGTGTCGGCGTAGTTGTTCCAGAGCCCCGCCAGCTTTGAAAAGGCCTAGAGAGGCCTGGAAACACTGCAGGAGGGCCAGTCCCACCAGGATCAGGCCACAGTGTGCGCTCTAGTCATTTAGAACCAGGCCGTACTTGTCCGGTACTACGTCCTGTCACTGTTGTGTCTAAACATTTTCAAATCTCTTTGCCTTTCAGGACCTATGAGACTTCCCTGTTAGTCGAGGAGTCGATCAGTGATGAACTGCCTTACAGCGGTAAATAAGCATCTTAAAAAGTGACTTTTCTTTCAACTGTTCGGTGTGTTTATGTTCTTTTGTAGTACCAGATGCTATTTAATTGAATAGGCAGTTCACTGTGTTCTTTTACAGTATTGTATTGTGCTCACTGCAGGGCTTGGTTTGCACCACCTTATGCACATTAATGAAACCGGGCTTTAAGACAAAAGTGCTCGTCTTTGTGTTGAACTTTCATGCAATGGCCCTTTTCGGTGGATGAAGTGCCTGCATTTTCTCTGCTTCGTTTCTAGTTGAATCTCCACTAAATCCCTCCGCTTCCCTCCCTCAGAGTACTTTGAATATTTTGCTCCTGATTTCACGTTGCACCCAGATGTCAGCACCAGGATAGAAAACCAGAACTCCAGACAGGTGCGTGCTTGTGGACACCAGAACCTGAGATTGTCGCACGGCGAGAGACTGGCTCTCCCTGCCTTCAGATCCTTCCGAAACGCCCTTTTAAAGTTTTAGCGGCAATGCTCTTGAGGCTGATTGAGTGATGACTCCATCAGAAACACTGCATCCCCATACGCCAACACAACCGGCGTCTGACTTCAAGACCCAGCGCGTTCGGGCCCTCCAGCCCGTGGGCGCAGGGACCTGTTGAAGGAGCTGAACTCGTGTGTCTCTTCCTGCGCTGCAGTACCTGGAGCAGATCCGGCAGACGGTATTCGAGAACCTGAAGATGCTGAACCACGCGCCCAGCGTGCAGATCCACGACGTGCCCTCGGACCTGCTGAGCTACGAGCGGACCGACGAGGGAGACCCTGACGAGAGAGGCTCTGAGGAGAACTATTCACGGTGCTGCTTCTTCCTCATAATACTCAGCCTTTTAGTAACTTTTTCCTGGACCTCCATAGCCTTCAGCAGAGTCCCAGACGAGCAACTGGAGAACCTCTGAGTTCTCCTTGGGTAGGGCGTAGCACGAAGCTCGCCATTAAAACACAGATCATTGTTTTTTTCCCCAGTGCCTCCCAGTGTGTTATAAACATCTGGCTACGTTTCTGTGGCAGGCCCTGCATGAGTCACTACATACTCCTCTTTTTAGGCATTATTTCTTAAATATTTTTAAGGCTGTTAATTGTATTTTGTTGGCGTGGTAATAATGCTGAAGTATTGATTGTAGCTCATCCTAAAATCATTAAAACTTGTTTCATTAGTAGCCAGTGTACACCAAAATGTGCTTTATGCATCTGGGCAGATGAAATTGAAATTGACTTTTTGTCTGGCTGTCAGATCTGACGATGGCTGTCAGATCTCTCTTATAACTGTTTTAATGAAGGAATCACATTGTTAATAGAAATAATCAGTTTGCTATGTCAGTCACCAGGAAAATATGATAATTGCCACCATTGTTAACTGGTGTATGGCCATTAACAATGGCATTTTTTTCTTCACATCACCACAAATTCTTTTTTTATAATTGATCAAAACCTTAGGTGTTCCAGATGAGATTTCTATAAATAGCATATTAAGACAAACCTTTTAAAAGTGCATGTTGTCTTTTATTAACAGGCCAGAAGCAGCCAATGAATTCTATGATGGTGACCATGACAACGACAAAGAAAGCGACGTTGAAATCTGATTGGTCAGCTGTGCGGAAGAGGCGGAGTTACTGGGCAGCCTGGGAAGCGGTCATGCAGCAGCCATCACTGCACACACAGGACACAGGCTGCGATGACAGAGCTGCCACCATCCTCCATCCTGCGACATGAATTAGGATTGATGCTGACCAGAACATGCGTTTTTGTAACCATAGTCCAGATTCACTCACCTTAAAAATAACTCCCATGGCACAGCAAAGAACCTGTTTTTTTTTTCCTTGGATGCTGACCTTTGCCTAGCTACGTTCTCAGCCGTGCAACAGCAGCATCAAGAAGCTAGCGCTTTTAAAAAAGCAGGAGCCATTGCAGAGCATGCTGTGTCGATTATTGTGGTGGAAGCTTTGCGTTACCCAGCGCAGAGTGTTTAAAAAGGAAAGGTGAAATAGCCGTTGCGTGTTTTAAGAGGGGAGCAGCTGTCTCCCTGAATCATGTCTCTTGTCAGTTACAGGCAGGGTGCAAGCACCCAGGTGATGCTGGGGTTGACCCCAAAATGTGATCCCCTAGGATGAGAGTGAGAACAGTTTACATTGGGTTTTGGACAAAGTATATGTATTCAATGTTCTGAAAACCTTGTGCTTTTTTTTTTTTTTTTTTTAGGGACAGGAGTTTTGTAAGCAAGTGCAAATGAAAATCGAATAAATCAACCCTTATAGGCTCTTTTAAATACATTAGTCTCCTCTGTGATTGATATTTGACTGCCACACAAAGCTTAGGCTGGTTGAAACCAAGAGGTAATGATGTTTATTTTGCTAAATCCACACCATAGAAAAGCAATTTTACCTTTTAATGAAATGTCGACTGGCAGAAGTCAGATTCAGTTCTTTTTAACCATTTGTAAAATGATTTTTCTAATGTGCAAACCACTCAAAAACCACTTTTAAATGGACAGCAATAGCACTAAGCATGCAGCTAATAGCTCTTCTGTTTTCAGGTACTTGTGAAGAGGTTTTGACACATGCTAGATGTGAAACATGCCTGGCTGATTTCTGGACAGTAAAATTTCAACAAATTCATTATTTCTTAAGTCAAAATCCTTTATGATCCATATTGTCTACCCCACCTTGTACAATTGCGAGTAGGAAACGGAAGTATTCAAGAAAACTTTATTGCTTAGGTTTTAAACTCTTACAGATACAATTCAAGTGTGTGTTTCCAAGTCTGTGGCTTCACATTTTTAGTGGCAGAAAGAAAGACAACCCTTTTAAGTAAAGAAGGCTTTCTGAGAGATGTTACTAAATATTCCAGTACCAGTTTCCTATTAAATAGCTTATATTAGAATTTTTTTAAATTATTTTGATAGAAATAAATCTGGCTCTGTATAATAAAAACATGACTCAAAACATACATACAAGACAGCTCTCTAATTTCTAACCATTATTAAGTTCTGTCTTGCGAAACACTTTGTAAAGGGAGAAATTTAAAACATTTCTCAGTTCCCAGTGGTGGAGGGGATGGGGGGGGAGAACTCATTTGTGTTCTGATAGCGGGTCGATCAGTGGCAACAGGGCAGAGAGACGGGCCATTGGTGTACACCTCCTGGAGGGAGCCACTCCCAGGATCCCCCCCCAGCACGCCCACGAACCTACAAATCCAAGCCCTGGCGTGACTCTGGCATCTAGCGTTGTCTTTACAGCTCCTCGCTCTCGCACAGGGGAGCCTGCTGCCGCGGTCCGCCAGCCCCCTGCCCGGCCAGCGCTGGGCCCTGGCTGAACGTGGGGCGCACTTTCAGGGGCTTGGCGACGGTGGCGGCCTTGGTCAAGCGAGCTGGAGAACGAAACGGAACACAACACGTCAGGACCGCCAGTAACCACAGGGGGGCGACTGGAGGGCACAGTCGACAAGGCAGAAATGGAGGACTCCCGACGCCTCCACCTACAGAGCTGCCCCGGTAGACAGATGGGAGGGCTTAGAAAGCGTTTCAGGGGCAAGTGCTTTAAATCAACAGAAGCACAACAATCCTCACTAAAAATGCTGACTTTAACTGGGTCAGGAACCACAGCAAGATTGGTCAGGGCTGGATCCATTCACACACGTGCTTCAGTGAGAAAGATCCAGTGCTTTGTCATAACTCGCGGCTCGTCCCCACGGCTGGACTTAGCAGTCCAGTAGACAAACATAGGAGTCGCTTCACAATCCGTCCTTTAGGGTGGGATGCCCCAATCCAGAGCAGATTTATAACCCGTCTGACGCCACCACGGAGGCGATCGCATAAGGTTTCATGTGCTACTAGACAGGCATGTGTGGTCACTCCTCTATTCCCGAGCCAGAGAGGCTGCCACATTGAGCACTGCTCCAGTTACAGCTTAAACCCTTCTGGTTGGGAAGGCAATCCTTCCCTGTGCTCAGAGTGCATGTCCAGAGTCCTGTTTGAAACAACACCCTCAGTTAGAAAGCCAAAAGGATCCTTGGCAGGAATAAGAAGGGGTTATAGATTTCCAAAGAAAAACGTTCCTTGAAACGCCCAATTTTTTGTCTACTTCAGGCATTGAAATTATCATTCTGATTAAGTCAGCAGAGACCACGTTAACAGTAACTACTGCAGTACGTCTGGAAGGTTGACACCTGATCACAGAAGGAACTGAATCGTTGTCAATCTCTTGCCCAGCACTATACAGCACATTTTTCCCAGCAGTAGTCATGCTCTCTGGCGTCTGCTTTGGCTCATTATAGCAATTTAATCTAGCAATAACACCAGCCCGAGCCAGGAGCAAATGGAAGGCTAAACGACCCTTTTATTTACATACTCTACAAATTAGGCGCAGAGTCTGCCTCGTCAGTGTTTTTAATTGTTAAAACCAGCAGAGCCATCAGCACTCTGTCGTATGACACCCCTCATCTCCGATCAGGCGCTGTATAATTCTTCACAGTCGCTGATGCTGCGCTTTACAAAGGTAGGCATTTACAGGCAAGACAGGCAGGTCTGAGGATGCTTTTCGCATGCACCGGTGGGGATGGGAAAAAGCTTGAAAAGAAAAGATCCGTCTTGACTGATTGGAGACACTGGATCAAAACATTTCTCCCACCCTTTTTTCGGGGGACCCCCCTCAGATGTCAGCAAGACTGAGCTGCACATAAAACAGCTGAAGCCCAATCGCCCTTCGAGGTCTTAGGTCACTCCAGGCGCGTAAAGGAGGAGCTGTGCTCTACTTACTCCCCACATCCAGTCTGGCATTGCAGGTAGACATGCCGGCCTCGTTGATGGCCGACACGGTGTACCAGCCTGCGTCGGCCTTCTCCACGCGGTCGATCAGCAAGCAGAGGCGCCCGGAGTTATCCTGATATAAGCTGCAACACACAGCCAGAAATGTTAATTTCTCCACCCTTTTCAGCTGGGCACGCACCTTTTCCAAGCCACCCTGCACGAGCAAAAACTCCTTTCCTCTTTTTTTTTTTAAACTTTACTGCTTGATCTTTGAAAGGAGGGTCACATCCACCACTAGTCTTCCATCCCTCAAATCCCCCCTTAAACAGAAGAGAGATCTCGTGTGCTCCCTCAACTGCAATGTGGCCAACTCGTACCCCATCTGCAGTAATAGGTTCATCGCTCTACCAAGACTGCGAAAGGAAAGGAGCTGCTTTCATGGTGTACTGTACCATTGGTGGCAGCTTTGCAGACTACTGCAGGCGCTTGTCTAAATGTTTTTGGACTAAGAAAGCATTCCCCTGCCCTGCCCTCCCATTATGTGAATGGTGCTTTACACCATTAATAAAGGCTTCATATCGTTAACATGTTTCTTTGTGTTGTGCTCCTGCTAATAAAGAGAAGCAAGATGTTACATTCACCCTGTAAATTAGAATACGGGGCTCCAAAGAGCAATTCAGTTACTTTGGCCACTAGAAGCTTCTGGGCCACCGTCAGACTGGTGCTTTCAAAACCAGAAGTCAAATTCAATGCTGATGATGGGGATGCATTTCTTGGACTGCTTTTGCAAATATTTCCAAATTTAGCCCGTTCGTTGCCTGCAGTCGTCCTGTGCAGACACCCTTCCAGGTAGAATTTCAGTCACGCGACAATTAATTTCATTAGATCAACAGAATCAGAAGTCGTCTTGTCCTGGATGCTGTAGTTGATGACAAAACGATACCTAGGATTGCGTCGGTGCAATCCCTTGTTATTGAAAGTGTTAAAACAATCTGACTGGGGGGCTCCGTGTGCTTAAAGGGTTAAAAGAGGCTTAAGACTGAGAACATGCTTTGGACACTTGTAGTCAAAGATTCCTGCTGAGGCAGAGTGGGAAGGCTGTGCCTCTACAAAGCACAGAGTCTGCAGTGAATGCAGCGGAGTCCTCTAAGCAGGGCTGGTGTATGAGAGTGTGGCAGCTCATTGGGACCGGGGTGTCCTCACCGACCTCATTCTGCCCGGATCCACGCGCATCATCTCCTTGTCCTTCTTCCAGTAGAGCTGGGGTGGCGGGGAAGCCGAGACCTGGCACTCCAGCCTCACGGAGTCCCCCTCCAGAGCCCGCGAGTTCTGCATCTTCCGGACGAACACTGGGGGGCGCTGCAGCTCCTGGGCTGGGGGCAAAGACAGACCCGCGGCAACGTCAGAGGGGCGTCGCGGGGCCCAGGCGAAGCTCTGCTCCAGAAAAGACTGCCCCTGCGATGGGGAAGTTAATGGCTGCAGGCTGGAAGATGAAGGAAACGAGAGCTCCCAATTCACAGGGGATGGTTCTGGAACCAGTTCAGACGTCAACCAATTGCTAAAGACCCTCTTAATGTTTCTGTTCATGCAGGAGCAGTAAATTGTTACTGCTATAGCCGTTGTCTAGCACAGGGCTAGGACAGCTCTCTCACATCACAGTTTCCTTTAAGGAGCGGGCCAACCTTATTTCCCAGCATCCCCGTCAGCCAGTGGAATGGCAACAGCTTTCGACAAGCCACTCGGAGAGCAGATCTCCGTGAACTTTTCAACTGGTTTGCTTTGTCTTTCAGAGCGGCAGTGCCACGCTCCACTAACCCCAGACAAACACCGCCGATTTAGCAGAACAAATTGTGGCTGAGGTTTTTAAAACACGGGATTACTTTGCGAGTGGCTACATGATTCACTATGGTTAGTCAACCTACTGAAATGAGATTAAGGCGAATAGCACACAATCTAATCCCCCCCCCTCCCCACCAAAAAAGCACACATTGAAAAATCTATGATTAATTCTGCCTGGAAATACATTTCATGCTAAACAGGCTTGATCTTTTGCATGCTGCTTTCACTTTATTTCTCTTGAATCTTCTGTATTACAGAATCTTCTGTATTTACATCATCCCATTAAAATACAATCAACATACGCTGCGTCCTCACTAGTTCCCTATGTAGAAACACAGGCGTATACCAGCTGTGTTCTGGTGAAAACAATTTTGTCAGACTACATCATAGGACAAGCAATGCCCCATGTACAGTACAGCGGTATACAGCAGGACTGAAATGCAACTTGAACAGGCTCTGTGACCAACACCTCCTGGAAACTCTGCCAGGGTTAACTGATGAAGCAAAACAGTCAGCAGCTGTGTTGTCAAGAAAGAAGCAGCTCAGGCCTTAACTCTATGTAATTAAGAGCACTTTAGTGGGAATCTGAAATGGCCAAAGGAATGTCATGGGAGGAAAAAATAAAGACCCTAAGTATACTACAAATACAAACAAGCTTAAAACATACAGAAGAGAAAGGTGTACGGTGGTATGATACTTCATATTGCAGGGCCTACTAGAGCATACCCCGATCACTAGAATGAGAGTATAAAGGCAGCGCTGTACGGGGCGAGGATGTGGACGACAGACCCCAGCGAGCGGCTCACCGATGACGCTGAGGTGCAGGGTGAAGCGGCTCTCCCCAGCGCGGTTTCGGGCCACACACTCGTACTCGCCGGCGTGGTGCACGGTCACGATCTCGATGATGAAGGAGTGCACGCCCTTCTCGCACACCAGCATCTTGTGGTAGTCGTCAGGGCCAATGAGCTTCCCGTTTAAATACCAGGACACGTCTGGGGTGGGCAACCCCCCCACCTGCAAGCAAACCACCCCTGTTAGACCAGCGCTGGTCCAGGAGGGGGCGCTGTCTCTACTGCGGGGCTTCCTGATGAGGCTCCTGGAGGTCCACACTCCTGCTATGTTCCGTTCAACATGTTGGGGGTGGTCTTTAACAATTAGATTTCACAAGAAACATGAAATGCCAAACTTACAATTATTCAGACAACCCGCTTGGTGAATTAATGCTCCAAAGCTCTGATGAAGGTGGGCTGGAATGAAAACCGGCAGGAGTGTGGGTCACCAGGCCAGGATCGGGGACCACTGCCCTAGTTGTTCCCTTACAGGGATACAGCCAACGTCCCCTGCAGATCTCTTTTGGCAAATCTAACACATTAGAAAATTCTGCTTCTCACAAAGCATGCATTCACTTTATTCTGCTCTGTAAGCATGGTATGAGGATTCTCCTCTCTCCTGATCTTTTGTTCTAGGAAGCCCTTCCAAAGTTAATTCCTTACTGCTCTTTCCACACACCACAGGAATCAGCTGCAGATTTGGGGCGACTGGCCGTCAGCGTACGGACAGAGTTAATGGCAGATGGAGGAAGGACTAGATGCAGATCAGGTATTGAAGAGAAGAAATGCATGAAGAGTGAATTCAAACATTAAAGATGAAAATGCTTCCTCCGGCAGGGCACCCATTTCAACATGCTTGGTGCTGCTTGGTGCCTCACACCCTTCAACACTTCACGGCAAAACACTGAGAAACTTCACACGAAGGCAGCGGGCCAGGCCTACCTTGAAATCAATTCTGCAGAAGCGGCCCTCTTCCACAGTGAGGTCTTGGGGCACCTGCAGGAAGCGGGGTGCATAGCACTTCTCCTGGATGGAGGCAGTCTCGGGGTCCTCCGACCCCGACTCGGGCATGTTCCTGTGCCGGGAAGAAGGAGCTTAGAGCTTCAACTCAAGCCTTCCTTCCGTGCAGCAGTTAGTCCAAAACTCTTTACTTCCAACACCAAGAGGCATTTTACAGGTAGCTGTACATGTAATGGATATGAATGTTTCAAGTAATCACCCATAAAAGAACTTGACAAAAAATCCTATATTTTCTATAGATGTATAATCGGGTTAATTGACTGCTCAGGGAAAAAAAAAAAAAAAAGACTAGATTCTTGAGAAACAGAATTTGAGACCCTTCTCTTCACAAATGGTTCCCCTGTCCTGCTGCACTAGTGAAAACAGGTACTGAGTAACACAGGTGAATCTGTTGATTGTGCAGCAGGATCACGACAGGCCTCTGGAAGAACCCATCTGGCCCACACCGGGAGTTTTAACAGGGGTCACCCAGGGTTTCACCCCAAATCCTGTATTGAGAAACCAGCCCCTCTTCTAAATCCGATTTTAAGACTGTCTGACTGCTGCTCTTGAAGGGTAAATGGATGATGAGCTTAAAGTTACATTTTTCTGCTTTTCTCTTTTGCACACCTAAAGGTGAAGGCTCAGCAGTCTGCATCAGCTTTTCAGAGTGCAATTAGCCTCTACTTTACTGGTTTCCTTGTAAACCTTAGTTGGGCACACTGTGAAAGCCTGAAAACCTCACAACACATCGTATAACACGGTTTGCAGTCATACAAATAAACAGGGCAGAATAAGTGCAAACTATTTTAGAACTAATAAAAGGAAAGGTTTTTGGATACTGACAGCATGGCAGGCACAGTTCAAGAAAACCCTCCTGCACACCGCAAACGAGAGGGACACTGTTTATCAAGTGTTATTGACGACTTCTCAAGTGTCTTACAGTGAGACTAGAGAGGTCACAGTGGGTCATTTTACTGTTCTATAATTGTCGAGGTTACATCTCTGCTCAGGGAATGGAGCCAGTGACGTCTAATGGCAGCAGCGCAATAGGGCTTCAGTACTGCCAGCCATGGAGAGGAGCCCAGCTTGCAACTGGAGAAGAGGATCAGCGCGTTATACCTTTAGACATGCGGGGAGGGGGGAAAGGCCCTATAGCCGTGACCCCCAGTCCTGGAGAGCTGCAGGGTGTTCTGGCTTGGTATCCCAAATTTTTAACCTTTGAGGAGCCCGAGTTCCCCCTAAAGCCTTTAGGGCTTCGGCGCTCCAGAAGGAGGAGAGGATTACAGTCCTGCAGTGTATCGGATCCACCTGCAGAGTGTTTGGAGGCCTGTGCGTCAATGCCAACCGCAAGCTCTGGATATTTCAGGCTTATTGTCACATGTGGAGTAGTTACTCCTCGATAGTTATATAGTTTTAACTTGAATTTTTTGCCATTCCCCCCACTCGATTAGGTACAACATGCACAAGACAAACAGAAGGTGGCAACAGTACCGGACCAGAAGGGTTTTTAAAAACCTCACCGTTCGCTAAACTATTACCGTATTACCAACGCATCCAGCTCTTTACTTTTCTACAGGTTTCTTATCAAATCTGGCAGACTGTGGCCCTCTGGACATGAAGTGGAGATCACTACATAGCCCGTACCCCGAGCCAAACTGCTGTGCAATGGGAATTGTATTTCTTGCTCCACTTGGCTTGATACAAAAAAAAAGTTGTCCTGCAAAAATGTGCCTCAACTTACAATTATTTTTAATAAAAAACCGTTGGCATCATTGCCAAGAACAGATTACCCTGAATTGGATACAGATTTAAAAAAAAATCACCCCTTTTGGAATTATGAGGCAAGTAATAAACAGGTAAACATTTACCGCTGTTGTCCTTGGCTGGTGTGTTTTCTGTCTGGTGAATTTTGCTGTAGAAACAAGAGTGAGAAAAGGTATAAAAATGTCAGCTGGATGCATGCAAAGCACCATCGTACTGTATGTGAACTACCTACCCAGCTACTGAGCAAAAGTAGCAATTTTACCTGACCGGATTCTAAGAGATAAAGACATCCCAATAACCTTATTGACGCATTCAGAAGTACAGAAGCAATGAGCGTCCATAAAAAACTTCATGCTGAGGGACAATAAAAATGATCTTGCTATTCTTTATGGCATATATTTAACCATAAAGGGCTTCTACCCACACTGAGCCTGAAAACACACAGTATTTGAAGTATTGCAGTCCAGTCTCTCAATAATCCTGAAAAACCTGTCAAGACTGTCGTCACATTCTTCTGCGATTCCATTCTGACCAGACCACTGCCGGCAGGAGGGACATCTCCCTACTGTACCTCTGTCTGCGAGTCCTGGGAGCCCTCGATGTCAAACACGGAGGCAGCGCTGTCCGGACCCAGCAGCCGGCGCGCCATCCGTTCCTCATAGGTCAGCTTCTGTCAGGGGACAGCGAAGACCAGGTCAGGGCCTGCACGGATACCCCCCTTGACCCGCTGACCGGTGGGAGGCAAGGACAGCTGCCGAAAAGGTCATTCGGCTGCTCTACAGCCTAGGGCACAGGCTAGGTTACTCTCACTGCCATTCAAGTCCACAACAGAGAAACCAGGAAAAAATGAAAGCACTCAAGAGCACTGCCAAGTCAGCTGGAGCCCACTTAGCACAACAAGGACAGGGTTTGGGAGATCAGATTTCAGAGACATCTTGTAGTTTGCTCTTTGCTGAGCTGGTACTGATGATTGTGGGTTGTACGCTTTCGCTAAACATCAGCACTGAAAGCAAAGTAAGAGTCAGCCCACCAAGAATATACTCCCCTAAAATGTTTAAAGATTAATTTCAATGAGGAAAACTGCAAAATTGAATACTAGCAAACCCACATTGTTTTTTTTGTACAGAAACGATTAATTTGACCAGCTTGAGAACATCAACGCTTTACGTAGGGCGTGGGATAGTGGGCACTTGGGAAAAGCACCGGAAAATGACCCACTTGCGTGGGAAGATGGGGAAGAGCGAGGAGGGGTGGGCGGAGGGCAGGGAGAGGACGCACCTGGCTGCCGTTCCTTCTCCGCGCCTCCTTGCAGCGCAGTTTCTTCTCCAGGTCCTGGATCAGGGCGTCCTTGGAACCCTGGATCTCCTCGTCCGTAGTGTGGGAGGCAGGCCGGGGGCTCTTCTTCTTCAGGATCTGTCTTGGGAAGCTATACGGAGGGATGGGGGGGGGGGGAGACAGGCCAGAGGTTACCGGTGACCGAAGGGACAACCAGATCACCTCTAGGTCAAGTCCACAGAGGAGTTCTGAAACCCAGATAAGCACACCCCAGGTCGGACTTCCGGATCGGGAGTGGCAGACGGTTTAAAAATCACGGAACAGGAACAGATTCTGATGCCTGGCACTTCTAACACCGAGCAGTGAGCACGAAAGCATGCAAAGGAGAGGAGAGGAGAGGCACTACTTACGTTTCCACTGCTGGAGCTGGTCTGTGATTAGCGGGCAAGGACGCAGGCTGGCCAGAGGCACTCTGGGGCCCAGGAGGGGAGAGTCTTGGGGGAGTGGGAGAGCGCGGAGAGTACGCAGGGGAAGGGGGTCTCGGTGGGGGGACGGAGGCTGGCATGGACTGGGAAGCTGCCGGACAAGGCAGGACAGAGCTGATGAAGGCAGCTGGAGACTGAGAGGGGGCACCAGCGCAGACCCTGGGCACCAGGGTGATGCTGGACTTCATGGGGCCACGAGACGGGGAGGCTGGGCGGGGCGCGGGGGGCTCTCGGGGAGAGCCGAGGGAGGAGGACGGCGTGGAGACGGGAGAGCTGAGGGTGGAGGACGAGGGGGAGGCCCTGTGCCCGTTGGGGAAGGCGGCGGAGGCTTGGGGGGGGCGGGGCTGCAGGCTCTCGTAGGACGGGGCCTGGAACCTCGGCTGGGCCTGGATGAAGTGGCGCGGCCGTTCGTAGTTGAAGGCGCTGGGCGGGTAGGATGTGGGGGAGAATGAGGGGAAGTCGGCCATGCTCATGTCGCCCGGAGGGTCTCGCTGGCTGCTGGGGTGGCGGGGGCTGGCTGGCTCCTCGGCCCGCTGTGAGGGTAGCGTGCAGGCTGGGGGAGGTACCCTGCTTTCACCGAGGGCAGGGCGGTGCTGCTCTTCTGCTGGGGTACCAGTGCACTGCCACTGCTCTGTACACCTGTGGAGACAACAATCCCACAATTCTTTCATAGGCAATTACAGCACACATCTGTGACTGAAAACCGGAAGACGGTACGTGGGACTCCTATTCCAAAACCAATCTGGATTGCGCTTCAACCAACACCCCATCATTTACAGTACGTTCACAAGGGTTGTTAACTCTGGTATCCTAGATACACCTTAACCTGACCTGTACTCCCTAGAGTTTCCCCTTAATTCAATTGGCTTCCCCCTGATCTACTGTGCAGTGGGGCTGCTGGTGCAAAAATAATAATCTATTATCCAGGTGGGTGCTGCACTCCACTGGAGGATGGCATTGGTTTGCTGTTACAAAAGGAGTACTTTGGGAACCTTTGAATTCTACAGAGCTTCATCTTGTGTCAGACACGGACATTCTCTACAACATGGATCTAGAAACAAAAGTATTGTAATAGAATTTCTGCAAGTTAAACAAGCAACAAGGAAGAGGATACCACTTAAGTCTGACTATTTCTGAGAATTCCAGAAATCCTTTGATAAAGTCCCTTGCAAAAAGGTTAATCCACAAAGTACACGCCATAAAAATTCAAGGTAAGGCATGCATGTCTAGGTATTTGTTTCTGATCAGTACCAATGGTCTAGCTTCTGTTACAGCCACATCAAAACTGGCAGAGGATACACAAAAGGGAGGAGTAGCTAATTAACCACCAAGTGAGCACTGCTGAAAGTGCCCGCTCCATCTCGTCAGCAGTCTGTCTTACAGTACGTTCTTAAGTGTGCTTTAGAAAAAATGTTTTAAAGTAAATAATTATAGAATAAAAAAAGCGATCTGGATGAAAAACCCAGATGGCACCGGGGGTGCAGGACATGTATAGGATTTAACTGGGAATTGAAAACGGAAGAATCTCAAGTAATTCAGGCTCTAATCTGTCAGCGGGTTATGTTGGCTGCAGTTCATAAATATCCCCTTTATTTCATGGGCACGAAACAATGAGTGAGCACTGGGAGGGGGGAAAAAAAAGCACCAGGAATGGAAAGAAATGTTCATATCCCTTTTTAGAGCCTGTGGCACTTTAGTGGAGCCAGGAAAGGCATCTGACAGTGCCCAGCAGGTGCAGACCATCTCAGTGGTCCTGTATGACGCACACTGCTCTGACACCGGGGGATTGTGGGTAAAAGCAAACTACACACTTTGATCCCCTTGCATCGAACCTGTAATTGTAGCCTAAGCCAACCCGGGGGGACAGAAATGTTTCCTAAATCCCTGTGCATTTCAGTTACATCACTAAACTTAATACGCCTGCGTGCTGAAAGACGATGAGATGGGAGTTTGTAAGGTACAGTGCACATATGTTTGTCATGTGCCCTTAATGCTGAATTCTGAAGCGTTTAACATGACACATGATAGAATCAAGAAACCAAAAACATCGTTATGCATTTAAGGGTAAATGCTATGGATCTTCATTTGGTCCTACCAGAGTTTACACACAACCAAAAAGGCACTAGGTCTCTCGTCTTATCAATTAAAACTGAACAAAGTCTCTGAAAACAGGCAAGGGAGAAAACACAGGGTCTTTATCCCAGGCTTGCAGCCGACACAAAAGGTCCCGACAGAATAGCAGGAGCTCCTGCTGTCTCACACAAACCCTGTGTACCCATTTATGCAACTGGGGCAGAGAATGCCTGGGAAACAGAGAGCACAGAACACAGACACTGGCTCTATTGAAAGAGACTGAGCTACCGCTGGTATTCCTTACAGCTCCTCCCTAGGGTCTACCCCGTTCTCTCCCAGGAAACCCACCCAGCCCCCTCTCCAGACACACACACTCCCTGCGCCTTTCTCCGGCGACCAAAACAAACCGAGATGGAGCCCCAAGATGAAATCCCCTAGCCAGGGAAAGACCTGTAGATTCTCTTCTCTGACCAGTGACCACAGCGACAGGAGTCTAGCCAAGGCAGGTTCTATATACTGTACAGCAGCAGGACTGGAGAGGTGGCACAGACTCGGAGCTCTCAGAAGACTGCGGCATCCAGAGAAACGCCACACCAAGGTTTAATTCTCGGTAGTGACAAGTACAGTAGTAGCCTCTGCATGTGCCTTTATTTCAAAGAGTAGAGTCCACTGCCCTTAGCACAGACCTGACTCGCACTCTCCCAGGCTTAACGGATGTGCAGGAATGAGAATAAGATGTGTTGCCCTTCAGTTTGAACCCGGGTTTCGGGATTTACTAGCTACAAGTACAAACAAAAAAAAAAAATCAACACACGAGGAAATCCGAGAACGCCTGTCTAGCGGGAGCTTATAACAATGACTGTATCACATACCTAGGAAATAATACGTCCAGTTCTGTTCTGGGAACTGCGCTAGGGGAATGAAAAGACTGGAAGACACACAGTTCCATGACATCACGCATTCCAGAGCGCTGCAAGCACCTATTCACACTCACTGACCGCTGTGCAAACTAGACGGTGTTAAATAGAAGACGGTCCTGGAATAGACCGCTGCCTTTTGTATTAATCCTTATTTATCATTTTGAACGATTTCGAATCCAATTGCTTAAGAAAAATACTCTGAGTCATTTTCAAAAAGATAATTGTTTAAACTGCACGGTATGAGTTTTCAGAAGACTACTGTACGACAGCAATTTAGCAAATGAAATTGCTCCAATTTCCAAAAACAAGAACATCGCCCGGTCCAGTTAACTGTGAAGCCTGAACATCTCCCGCAATTTGGCGCGACACGCGAAAGTTTGTCCACCATCCCATTATCACAGTGAAAGCCGATAATGGATTCGATTTTTTCAAAAAAGGCAGCATTACTTTCCCCAAGAAGGTCCTTGAAGTGCTCAACACTTGTTTCAAAACAAGTTCCGAAAATACCCAGAAAGCCGACACTGAACACCTTCAAGCCTCAAAAACATTGCAGACAAGGGACCCACCATTCAATCGGTGAACTTGTTCACTTTTCCCCCTGCAAGTATCCGAAGAGAACAGAGATCAATCCAAGACCACCTGTTCACGCAGGAAACACTACAGTCTGCTCTCCAGCGATCCGCTTATCCCTCCCTCTGTGAGCACACTGGTTGAAGAACCAACACACCGGCTTACCTGAGCTCACCTCCGCGGATACTCTGCTAACAACAGCTAGCGCGTCTGGACGGACAAAGCATGAAGCGCTGCAGCTCGGACGAGCTCACAGCAGCTGGGTGGATAGGCGGTCGGACAGCCCCGACTCTGCTCCTCTTATTCGCTGCAGCTCGGGTGGTGACGTGGGAGGGGGACACCCGCTGATACCCACGTCGTTCTCCAGTTTTCTGAGCTCAGGAGGCGTCTTCGCACGCCGTCAGCTCAATGTGGATGATCTATTTATACGTGTATCGTTTACTTTGCAACATCACCCAACAGGTCGCTAGCCGCACCCCCTCTTAATTGCTTTTAGAAATAATCAGTCAGATAAAAAAACAACCAAGTTGTTTCACTGCATTTTAGGTTAGTCTAAAACCTAGGGTAACCTAGCTGTGCTGTTACTTTCATTGCGAATAGTACTAGTACTTAACAGTAATAAAATACTAGTACTCTTATTAATAATATTAGGTCCTGACGTACTTGTTTAGTTTCGTAACTTAAATCAGAAATAGCTTTTCAATTTCCCAACATTGTTGCGCACATGCCGTGTTCAATGTGTTAGTTATTCTTCTGGCCATTTCAAATCCGAACAGTGAGCACTCTCTCTCAGACAAACCGATACCAAGACAAGGCAGATATTTCGTCTTTCTATTGAAACCATAAAAGTGGTTTCTCTGGTATCAGTTCCAGGTTAATTCCCAACTACGCTTTCAGTTCTTCAAACAGAAAGTGATTGTGGGGAAAATAGGGAATTTTTCAAATAAAACTCCACTAAAATTTTTACATCATTATGTGTACACTGTGGTATGAAGTACACAAGGCATAAAGATTTTAACTGATAACACACCCTTAATGATAATTAGCTTTAACCATTTTCTTTCCTTTGATATTTAGCACATTAGTGACTGTAGCTCATTTTCAATACAGACACAATACCGCTTGACGAGAAAAAAATGTATTAAATTTAAATTTACGTAATGTATTTTTAAAACGCAGTCAAGAGGCAAAGTCTTGCCTCTTACTATGTTCACATAGTTCGTTACTTTATATTGAATTGAATCAACAATGAACGGTTATAGAGTTTTGCATTTTTAATTTGTACGAAAAACCCACCAGGAAAAGTGGACTGAAAATGGGTGGGTGTTCTATTCCTGACATGAGCAGTACCAGGGAAACCGATTGCTATATCTCTCGCAGAAAGTAATTTCACTCTTCAGATGTGTTTTAGTGGCTCCCTCTTCTGGCAACACTACAAAACTACGGGCCGATCCGGTAAACACGTAATTCCTCGCAGGTAAACAGCGTCCTTCATTCCAAAGAGCCAGTTTCATCCACCACAGAACCGCGGGCCGGAACCTCTCCGCACCAGCAGCCTCAGTGCAGAGCAGAACCCCGTGGAGAAACGAGAATTTGCGTTACCAATTGGATTAAGGGGGCACCTGATCGCAGCATTCAATTTAACCAGGACACTGGAGTTAATAGCCCTACTCTAACAAACTATGCATTCATCGCCAAATATTCAGGACCTCTATTTAACTTCTCTTTACAAAGAAGGCACCGCCTGCAGCCCCGTGTCCACTGGCAATACACTGGCGCACTGGTCTGGACATCCTGTTCCAAAGGAAAGAGCGCCATCTATTGGTCCATCAACATCACTTACTGCAGAAACTTGGTAACGGTAACAGGTAACGGGGACTCCCCTCCACCACCACCTGTGTGCAGCCCCACAATTTGCCAGCCTGTGGCTCATCATCATACACAACATGTCTTTCACCTTGCTGTGCGTTAAGACGTTTATGCGCCATTTATAGAAGCAGCCTTTAATTTGACTATCTCACGTGGCTCTGTGCTCTGTGTTGGCTCAGCCGCTGTGGTTGTTGGGGAGAGCTGGCTTGGCGATCCTGAGTAATCCCAACGGCCTGGCGAATTCACAGCTCGGGTCTTCTGATTGCAACAGAACAATGCTCCCGGAGCAGCGGACTCTGTGGTCGCTGCTGAGGACAGGGTGGGGGCCAGGGTTACACCTGGAACTCTGTACTGTACTGAGGAGGCACCCAGCTCCCCTGCAGAGGTACCAGCGCGCGCCGCGGGGAATCAGGCCGGTGGTCTCACCCTTCCGAGCAGGGGTCCGCACAGGGCTCGCTGTCCTCCTCGGGGCTGTCTGGCCACTCTGGGGGCGGGATCTCCACTGCGCCGTGCGGGAAGGAGGGCAGGGTGTCGGGGAGAGGTTCTGCAGGAGAGCTGGTGGTCTCCTCGTGGGCCAGCACCTCCTCCAGGCCTGTGGGCGATCACACAGACAGGTCTGGAGCGCAGCAGGGCTCTTTCCTCCCCGCGACACGAGCTCAACTCACACACAATCGTTTTTCAGACACTGAGAGTAATTTCATGTGGGCTTTTCACGTAAAAGAGACTCAAATAGCCCTGGAAAGCAGAGATTCTTGGTCAATAGCACTGCTGTCCTGAGAGAGAGGGTGTCAGTCAGTACAAAGCAAGTTAGGCTGATCCAATTAATAGTACATGGAACAACCCTAACCTGTAACCCCTATCCTACAACACTAACACAAAGCATAAACTATTAATATCAACATCATCCACTCATCAAAACCTTTTTGCCAGCATTTTGTAAAGTATGAAGTAAGACAGGCATATATATATATATTACAGTTCTAGTTTTGATTCACTAGTGTGATTTATGTGCTGCGATATGCTAGAGAAATGTATTTCCTGAGCAAAAAGTAGTGTAAATGATGAAAGAACTTGTAACTGCATTCCAAATAAAACAAAACAGTAGATATTTCCGGTATAATATTTCCTGCTCTTATGTTGTAAGCAAATGTGATTTCAGCAACGATGTGTACAGTTCACTCTAAACTCACACAACAGATGTATATAGTAGACTCTAATTGCATGCGAAGGGTGGATTTGTTAATATCTAAGGCAGCAAGTCTGGGATGTTTTAGGAAAAGACAGGTTATAATATTTGGAAGTTTAACATATTTTTCTGGAAAAAGCTGAAGTATTAATCAGCTGGACATGTACAGTATACTGTATACAGAAGACTGCCATAGCTGCTGACTTTACACAGAGGAGTTAGCAGTTCAATACCAATGAGCAGAGAGGGCCTGTATTTACCTGAGTAGACATCCAGCAGCGCACTGCAGGACACTGTGCCATACTGATTGCCTGCCACACACTTAAACATCCCAGAGTCCTCTGGGAAAGCCTCTGTAATAACCAGAGTGCAGACCTCCTCTGGGGACAGAAACAGAGACGCTATGAGCTGGATGCATAACCCTTTTAGCACAATGCTAATGTACAATTTAAAAACAAAATGTTGATTTTATCCAAGACCTCATCATAGACACTTCAAGGTGTCAAATCACCAGCTGATTGGATCATATTCCCCATTTTGTTTCCCTCGATATTTTTGAGAAAAAATTGTGATGCTCACTCACCAGGTACCGATACAGAACTGGCTTCTGAAAAAGAGGAGAGAGGTCACTGTGTTTAATACCAAACCAGCTTTGGCAGAAAGCTCTGATTGAGGGGCTTTCACAACTGATAAGAATAATTTCATTTGGATATTTTAACACACTGGAAATAGTAATTGCTTGTTAAACCTCACAACTAGCTAACCAATCAACCAGCCAGCCAGCCAACCAACCAACCAACCAACTAGTCAGCCAGCCTGTGTTTCGGAGGGCACAATCAGGTTCAGTGATCCTGCTTACTCTTCTTGAGGATCCGAAAGTCAGCCGAGTCCACTATCTGCTCCTCTTCCCGGTACCACAGCACCTGCAGCGGGGGTGTCCCTCGGACTCGACACTCCAGGACCACCAGCTGGCCCTTCACTGTGCTGACATCATG